TATCCAAAACCCTCTCCCCTAAACCCTCTATCCAAAACCCTCTCCCCCAAACCTTCTATCCAAAACCCTCTATCCAAAACCCTCTATCCAAAACCCTCTCCCCAAAACCCTCTATCCAAAACCCTCTCCCCTAAACCCTCTATCCAAAACCCTCTCCCCTAAACCCTCTATCCAAAACCCTATCCCCAAAACCCTCTATCCAAAGCCCTCTCCCCAAAACCCTCTCCCCTAAACCCTCTATCCAAAACCCTCTCCCCCAAACCTTCTATCCAAAACCCTCTATCCAAAACCCTCTATCCAAAACCCTCTCCCAGAGCCACACCAGCGCTCAGCGGTTTCTTTATCTTTCAAAAGAGAACGTCATGTTCACGTTTGCACAAACCTCGTTAAACGTGTAGATGTGGAGTTCAGAGTGGAGGTGTAGCACTGCATGCTTTCAGCCTGGCTTCAGTTTGCTTTGGAGTTCCACTCTGTTCTCAGAATGATCAGGGATGTAACCAGAAGACAAAGAGCCCACTGCAGTGCTGTGAACATGCACAGACTCAAACAGCTCTGGAAAAAGTTTCGATGTTGGAACATTGGACTGTTGCTTATGCTGAGTCACAGCTGGACTTTTAAAGCCCCTCCACTGCACATGTGTTTATTTAGAAAGCATCCTTTGATTATTCAGTGAATGTTCACTTGTGAAGTCTACTTTCCTTATGTCTTCTGAAATAGTTCTAAAAATGAGGAAATTGCAAAAACCCAAAGAGGCATTACAAGAAACTTAGCGCTGATCAGCTGGGAAATGTATGAATGACCCGAGTGTGACACATAAAGCAGATTTATTTAAATGAATCAGTTCACATTTTAGTGGCCAACCAAAACAAATCCCTTCTCAAGCGCTAGTGATAAAATGTTACCCACTTTGGAACTGGCTCGTCTTTATTGTAATGAATATTGTTGTTCACCAACAGCTACTAAAACATTTCTCCAACCGCGTGACAACTGTAAAATAATTTGCCCAACAATCTTGTTTTATTTCTTTTTTCTTATAGGTTTAGTTTTGGGTCTTTATGGAACCCAAACTTTAAGTCAATTAATGTTTCCACTTCTTTTTCCAGTCTTCTTTATCCAAACAAAGTGTTTAGAAATGGCCTGAGGAGAACCCACACATTTTATTCTTGTCCTGTTTATGCATTTAGCAGATTCTAAATGGGGGGCCGGAGGCGGGGCACACCCCGGTCCATCACAGGGCTACACAGAGACACACAACCAGACACACAACGCAGAACACTGTAACCTCAAAACAATGTGTGGTGTGACATGTTAAAGGCCCAACTGCTGCCACTTGGTCTGAAACTCCTATAAAAGTCTGTTGGATGTTGCACTGGCTCTTTGAAATTGGCTCAGTCGGTTTTGGATTCAACTAAATTCTTCAGGCGATGGGCTAATTCTATATCAGACTCTTTTTTTAAAAAAAAACAAGATGCTGTTTGGCACAGTACTGTGGTGGAAGGCATCATGACAGCGAGAGGGTTCCAGGTTCAGACCTGGACCAGAGGCTCTTTACATGCTCTCCTGTATGTATGGAGTCTCTCTAGTTTGCTTTCGTTGTCCAGAAATATTCATTTTGGTTTTATGGGTGGCTCTGAATTACATGTAGGAGCGACTGTGAGTCTTTTTCTCAGATGACTGGTGAAAATAAAGGTTTAGAAATGCATTTGTATGAAAGATTCTGGACTCATTAGAAACTCCCACTTTTTTTTACAGTGCCTTTTTCCTTATGCTACTGATATGAATGATGAGATTGATGATGAAACTGACAAAGCACAGTTTTCTTTTGTGGCTAATAACATTGGTATCCTCGTCTGCCCACGACTGAACATTTTTTCGCACCTCTACACAGATATATTACTAATTAAAGGACCTATGAAACATGGTAGTCATAGTAAACTTGACTATTTCATGGCCGACCTTAGTTATTGATAATGATGCTTGTGGTTACAGACTGTGGTTTAGCTTACAGCTTCTGGGCCAGATGGACCTGGATCTCCCAGTCTTTTTCACCTCTCTTTGGAATGCTTGTTGTTCAGCCTCGGTGCATTTAGAGAACCACAATAAAAGTTCATAAGTCAGTGGAATAAGTCAGTGGAAGAAGATCATCAGCCCCCCCGGAGCTTAAAGCTGCTGACCCCATCAACTGCCTCTCTTCCAATACAGAAGAGGGTGGTTGAACTGTCTGTATCTATAAAAGTAATTTCTTCAGTTTTTTTAACGACCAGATTTTGATTGGTACGCCACGCTGAAAGTAGTTCCTGTATGTGGTTTTATTCTTTTATCAGTAATGATGCAAACAAAACCACACGTCCCTGGGTGGAAGAACTCTGACCTTTTGTGAGTGCTTTGGTCAAGTCTTAAGTCCAATAGCATTGTGATGGATGTGACCTAGATTGTAGAGTTTGAGTTTGTGGCAAGAAGACCCGTGAGAAAAACACAGTGATAAAGGAGGCCATTTATTTTCCTAACCTTCCAAGAAGATCCCGTGTCCCAGTCAAAGTGGGACAAGCTTTTCCAATATACTAATAACATTTTCTAAAAAAAAACAACACATATATATGAATGCAAACATGTTATATTTGTACATTTGTAACTACATTTCTCAGCTCATTTACCAAAAATAAAGCCAACACCCATAATTGACCTTTCTCTGCATTTTGTTCTCCGTTTTTCATCCAGTTACATTCACTGTCCAATCAAAACTGCGAATGTACCTTCCTCACTTCCTTGAAAAAATTAGCATTCGAGGTTAGAGTTTCTTTTAAAAACAGAAGCAAGATGGCTTCCAAAAGGGACATACTGACAGTTGATTTCATTTAACGAATACTGTAGCTACTCACCCTGAAATAAAGAGAAAGGAGAGAAAAGAACTGAAGGATTTTCTCCACCAAAAGTGTTTTGAAGACACAGTTGTTCCTTCTCTCTTCTTTACAGTTAGTTTAGCCAGACACATAAAAAAAGAAAAACACACCAAGCCACACACATGAACACGCACACAAAGTTTACACTATACTAAAAGTTCTGTCTTAACCTTCACAAACTATATTGGGGAAACTGAAACTTTACTAACTATGTAGATGTTGAAAATGACTAAATGAGTAGATTTGAATGTTTAGTTAATAAGTATATTTTCTCATAATCCTGTTCTATATGACCGTTCTTTATCTACATGACCATTTTTGGTTTATTTGACTTAACATCATGTGAGAATAAATATATATATAGTAAGTATCAATCAGAGAAAGATGTTAAAAGATTGAAAGAATCAAATAACATTTCTTCACTCTGTACAAACATATTAGAGGGAAGCTTCCTAAATGATACTCTCAGAGAACCCTTCTTACACCTGACAGATCCCAAACCATATTTGAGAGAGCGTAGAGCTGACTCACATTCAGAAGAGCAGTTATATTTGTGACAGTTTCCCACTCATCACACTTGAAGCTAAACAACTTGAGATCAAAATAAGTGTTCAACATTAGTATTTTCACTAGGTAACTGTATATGGAAGTCCTGTGTTTAAGAGTACACACAAGCAAAGAAAGCAATGACCTGACACTAAATTGTAGAAATACTAGAAATACATGACCCCTCAAATGCTCATTTATTGTGAGGAACATTCAGAAATACCCCAAAAGTTAAATAAAGTTGTATGATTCTGATTCAAAAGGCCTGTACAGAACCATTGAACATGGTCATTTACAAACATGTGTGGGTTCTTTACAGAAAAATGTCGAGGAAACAGGGATGACTCCTGTCATTTTACCAAAGAATTATTTAAAAAATGACCCCCTTTTCCAAATGCTGCAGCTTTTGCCTTACACTTCTTTTCCTCTTTTTCTTTTTTTGTGTGGGTAGTCTGCCTTAAAGCTAGACAGCGAGTCAGAACTCCTAATAAGATGTATCCGTCAGCTGCTTTTTCTTCACTCTTTAAAGAAAATCCAACCCTGTAGGTAGCTTTCCTTAAAGTGTTAGTTTCAAATTTGTTTGTTGAAATTGTGTCTTAATCCCATTTCCTAAGGCTATCCTACCAACCAGCAAGCAGCCCCCCCTCTTCCTGACTACACACGTGTACATATGAATACTCTATATACTATGAGAGCAGATTGTTACACGTTACTGTGGAGTGTGGTCTCTGCTGTTCAGACGTTCAACTACTGACATGAAGTTGTCATCCATGTTATTTGCTAGAGTTCACAGCGTTATTTTGGTGGCTGTTTGGTAGCCTGGCTCCCTCTCCGCTACTCTGCCAATGTTCCAACAGTTTGCCAGCTGCTCTGCCACAGAAAACAAGACATGGA